ACAATCGACGGTAATGGCCCTTTTAGCTACGTTTATTCGTTCCATTCCATTGTTCAGCACGTTTCCTCGCAAGATCTCCGAGCGTCATCAAGCGTCGAAAAACGCTAAAATCAGATTTCGTTCGGCAATTTACGCGGACGAAAGGGGCTTCCTATCGAAAATGGAACGGCAAAAGATGGCAGAAATAGAAGAATGTTCGTTGAAGAGCATTCGCCTGGATCGCGATTCGAACTTCCGGCACTCGAGTACAGAACGATTGTTCCGATACATTTTACGGATTCACGGGCCACGTTTCTGTAATTCTTCCGATACAAATTCTGCGCGGTGTGTTGGGGGAAAAAAAAAATGAACGATATTTGCACATCGAAGGAAATTTCGAAAGTGCGAGAATATCGTCGAATTAAAAACAATTGAATTTTACGCTAGATGTGTGCGCCGATAGCCGCGTGAATCAATGAATCAGCTAACGAATCAGCTTTCTCTCTCTATTTTATGTTCTTCACTCGGACTCACAGTAGGAGAAAGGAATCAAAACACTCGTCTGCATTAGGGGATACAGAACGTTTCTAAAATCAGGAAGCAGGTGACTCTGTTATATCTATTTGAAAAAAATAAGTCGAAAAGGAAGAATAAAATTTGTTCGTTTAAGGTTTCATTCTTGGGAAAGTCGAATTTGAAAATTTTGTCAAATGTCGAGTTTTCTATTTGAGAAAATAAGTAAAGAATGTGAAACGAAATTTCTCCATGTTTATAGGAGATGTCGTTTTCAAGAAAACGGAGTTTAAACGTTTTTGATAAAAATGGAGTTTAAACAGGCGGACACTGCCCATATTTCCACTCCATAGAATTCCTGATGAAGCTTCGAAATTTAATTCTCTCGAAAACGGAGCCTCGCAAGCGAGAGAATTTTGTTCTTTCCTTTCAATTTATCTCTTCATGCAGGATCCTCCCTTTTCTCGTTGTATATCGCGATTTCGAAAAATATTCGAATTAAATATTGCGCACGTTGTGCATTAATCCTCTATTTTACAAAAACTTCTCATTTTGCTTTTTTTTTTTTTTTTAAACACTCTCGCGATGGTCAGCGTATTTGTAGAGATTCACGGCAGAGACGCGTACGTCTGTTTAGAGAGTCTCGAAATGATTTCTCCCTAAAACGCGATCACCAACACAATTCGAGGGCGGATCGTTCGATGGCTCGGGCTATAGAATTAACAGCATTAATTGGTCGCTTTTAACGGTATCTCCCATGAACTGTCGCGCAACCATTCCACAGGCGATGCCCTCGCCGCTCCTCTTTTATTCGTAATAACTCGATTACCCGATGCTTTTAGCTCGGCTAATTTTCGCACGCTTCCCGTGAATAGGAAACCATTAAGGCCGTCCAAAGCGGTACGCTGGCAACGATTCCTACCACTTCCCTCCTTGTCACCTCATTAAAAGGCGCTTTCTCGATTTTTTCTTTTCTTTTTTTTTTTTTTTTTTTCTACGAAAGGGCACAAAGAAGAATCCGCGAGGCAATCTGCAAGAAACTCGTGCAATCGATAGATCACCGGCCAACCGAAAAGAAGAAGCAAGAGAGAGAGAGAGAGAGAGA